CATTGTATGCACTTTATTTTGGAAATAAGACAACTAATCGTTTGGATACAATGAAAAATCCATTAAACTGAATCCTCGAATCTCAATGGTTTACGACACAAAAGTAACAAAATAAAACGAAAGAAGAAGAAACTTGGCGGGGAGAGAAAATGAAGAGCAACACCGATAAGAAGTATGAACGGCAAGAAAATAGTTTGCGGGAGTATTTTGTGTGCCAAATTGGATTTTCATCATAAATATTGCACCCCGCACATACACACATACACATATACACACAACCAAATGCAAACACATAATAAATAATAAATTTTTAATAGCCACCGTATTATTTGCTCGCATTTCGAGCGCACAGATGGATCGTTCACGGGGCCAACTAGAAGCAGTGTGTTTGCGTTTGTGTGTGTGTGTGTGCGAGTTTTGTTCGGTGCACTGAAAAGCGCACTGAACGGAAAATTCGAGTAAATATTCTTATCTTTTTGTTGCAATAAGTAAAAGGGGACCAACAGAATGAATGAGAGCTAGGGCAAGATCAAGAGCGGGGGCGGGAGCAAGAGTGAGAGTTGGTGTTAGAACGACAGAAAGAGAGAGAGAGAGAGAGAGAGAGAGCGCGCGTGAGAGTATGATATAGAGAGTGTGTAAACAAGAATGAGAAAAAGATAGAGCGACCGAGAGAATGAGAAAAGTCTCAAGAAATGCACAAGTTGGAATGCAAATACCCAAGTGCGTTCACTTTTCGTCGAAAGTATCGACCCAACAAAGCCATTGCTCACAAAAATGAAAACCAAACATTTTGCGCCAACAAAATGAGACGAAGAAAAATTCGTTGCTAATATTTGGTTTGGTGTGTGTGCTGCGAAAAAAAACCCATTCTTTTGCTCGCTCGCGTCCATAACGCTTCCTTCGATACATTTGTTCTAAATGAGTGCAATAAGTCAACCATTTCATTTGCATTTTCGATGTGGATGTAGAAAAATTAGCAGCAGCCACAGCAGTAGCAACAGTAGCAGCAGCAGCAGCATCGATATGCAAACACAATTGTTTATGTAATCAAAATGAATTCAAACAAGAAATAGATTCTCATGCACGAAAGCAAACAACGATTTTTCAGTTTCCTAAGGTTTCCTCCATTTTTTCTCTGCTTCTTCCTTCGTGTGTGTGTGCGTGTTTTTTTTTTTTGCTCTCTTCGTCAATCACAATCAGTTATCGTTTCAATGCAATCTATTTATATCTGATGGTTATGGTAAATTTTTGTTCGATTCATTTTTTCCCATGCACACAACTTATCTTAATTAACTGATCGAAGGGTAAATAATGAGCATTCGAATTCGGTTTAACTTGTATATCGTCGCTGATTGAATTTTTCTCCCAAAAAAAAAAACGTATCAATAGCGAAACGCAACAACTGCACTGGATTTCAGTTCAACGAATAAATATTTTACTACATCACAATATAGAAAATCAACAGGAAGCTCTCGTTTCATTACAGCACAGATAGAATGAACTACAAATTGTAGCTCTTATCATTATGGCACGCAGGCTAGGAAAAAAAGAACCAAAAAAAAAACAACTCGAAATGGTTATATCGAGCCGATTCGTGAACCAAATGAATTTTCTCTTTCTGCTCCCTCGCTCCCTCGCTCCAACAAAAAATTTATTTTAATTGTTTTGTTTGTGTGTGTGCGCGCGCCTGCCATTTGTTTTTCATTGAGTGCTTAAATTTATTGCCGTTACAATGTGGAACAAGTGTTTTCCATTGAAACCAATCCGCCGCTCGTTCGCTTCCTCTCTCTCTCTCTCGACTATTCAAACTATTGTCTCTCTCATGCTCTGTGTTAGTGCTATTTCAATGGGAAGTTTGTTGTTATTTTCTTGTAGAGGCAAAAATCGATACAAGTGAATAAAAAGCAATCTAAAACCCAGATACAGTATTTATGCGGGTAATTGTAAACAATAAACACAACATACGCTCAGCTAACATTTACATTTGTCCGACGCAATTTCAACCTGATTGAGATACAAAATCACTCTCTCTGTCTCTGTCTCGGCCCGTGCTCATGTGAGCCGAAAAGAAGAGCGAAGAAAAAACAAAACAAATATTAACAGCAATTCTTTTTTTATTGAATTGTTTTATTTTTCTTCTATTCGCTTGATGCATTCGATTCCACAACGATAGACACGACCAATGAAGAACGAACACCGCGTATTGAGTAGTAAGAAAATGAGAGCTGATTTTCATTGTTGTGCTGCTGATTCAAGGGATATATGTTATTTTAATTTTCCGAGTGCCACAACGCACACATGAGTGAACAGAGAGAAAAAAAAACCACTCAAAAATGCACTTTCCATTTTGTATTACGACTCCGACTTTCTCGATGGCACAAGGAGCATGTGAAAGAGTGAGAGCGTGAAATAGCAAAATAAAAAAGAACCCGAAAAATGCACAACACTCGAATTCCATTCAATACACAATGAACACATTTACTAGGGGATTCTAACGGTTAGCGTAGGTTATATATTTGTTCAGGCTGGTGTTTTTCGACAGCAAAGCTCATCGAATCACCTGAAATGATTCTTTTTCTACCGTTGTTTTTCAATCCATGTCGTTTAATAGCTTTTCATCAAGAAATAGTATCAACATTATATTTGAAGACTTCTTAGTTGGCTTACAATGTTTCCAAACATTCCCCTGCTTGAAAAAAGAAAACGTGTAAAAATACCTGGAACACCAACAGAAAAGTCTTATTCAAAGTATAAATTTCAGAGAAATACAATCAAAAAACGAAGCGGAAATCGTTGTTTACCTATCGGATAGTTCTCTCTTGATTGAAGTGATCGTTGCTCGTTGTGTAGTTTGTGAAATGAGTCGTAAGCAGGAAACTTGTGTTTAGTACGTTTTAATTGTTGTTTTAAAACCTAGTCAAATGATTCAATTTGTATTATCAATAATAATAGAAGATCGATGTTGCCGTTAATAGATTTCGATAAAATTTATTGCTCAAAAAATTGCGTTGCTCCACATGAGTAATTGTTGGAAATAATTATTGGATTGATAGAGCAAATAACAGCCTAAAAAAGGCGTGTAGCCTTTGGGAAAAAAAACTTCGAAATGTTGCGATGAAATCCGATTCTTTGAGTTAAATGGTCCTAACGTCAATTTTTTACGTTCGTTAATTTGACCGAAAAAAAAAACAAAAAAAATGTGTTAAAGCATTCAAATGATAAAAAACCCCTTGGCATTTACCATTCAAATGAGCATAGCGTTTGTAAAAGCTTCGAAGTGATTGCGAAAAAAAGCCATGATAGAAGAAAAATCGTACACATATAGAGAGACAGAGAAATAAAGAGAGAGGAAGAAAAAAAAACGAGAGGTTTTTGCAATGAGTAGAGAAAATGGGGGGAGAGCAACAACAACAATAATCGAGGAAAAAAAAGAGCATGAAAGAAGTATCGGATATAACGTGCAGCGATTGCAACAACACAGATTCATTGATTTATTTGCTGCTTATTTGCTCTGGTGCTGTGTGTTGCAAATGCACACTGCACATTGAACACATACACACACACACACACACACACACACACACACACACACACACTTACTCTGTTGATGTCATTTCAACGTTGCCGTTTTATTTTTATTCCGTTTCATTCATTTCGTAACATTTTTCACGTTTTACATTTTATTACAATTTCAATGATGATGGTGTAAGCGACTGAGCTCACTCGTTCGTTCGTACATTCGTTTGTCGTTGTCGTACAAAATGCATAGCCCAAAATATCCAGTTGTATATTCATTAGTATCGTTATGGTTTTGAGCGAAAGGAGAGCAACAAAAAGCGAAGAGACGAGTATAAGCGAAACATTTTTAGCTTAGAGCCATTTGTAATGCATGTCAGTAGGATATTCATAAATGGTACACACACACACACACACACACACACACACACACACACACACACAC